ACTCTGTAAATGAGAGCCGCTAACTGACTTGCCTCTTCTTTGGTACATTTATGATAACCTCGTAAGTATTTTGGTAACTCCTGAAAAGACAAACGAAAGCGCTTAGGATCACGTAAACACAGTCAAATGAAATACAAAATAACGCCCGATCATATTTATTGAATGAGGCTGAGTATGATGTGGAGAATTATGCAGATCGAGAAGAACGTTATCGGCTGAGGTGGATAACAGCCTCCGAGATGTGCATAATTCCTCACATCATACACAGTTCTTAACCAGCTTACTTCCTCGTAGACTTCCTTTAAAACTTTGGCCCATTTCTCGGGCAAGGTTTAATGCTATAAACAGATGTTTTTTTTCTTGCAAATACTCCTCAAAAAGTTGATAACATCCATCGAGCAATATATTTTGCGCATTCTTGCACCTCTTCAGTTCAGTTTGAGTCAGAAATTCAGTTATTTTATCTTCGGATAGCCCTGAATGCCGGTTGTTCATGAAGAATTGGCCGTAGGATTTAAGCCAGTCAGTAATGGGGAACTGAATATTTTGAATGAATAATAATCAGAAAAATTACCGTGCTACGAATTAAACCGCCGCTTCCCAGGGGACGCTGACGTTGACAACAAAAAGATTTGGCTTCGTTAATTTGTTAGCCAATAAAAAAGGCGTTTTTCTCTTTAGATTTCAAAGTCTCGGTGGCTGGGGTTCTGTTCGTTGTACCGCAAATTCCCTAACGGCAATAATCACATTGGCCGATGGACATACCCAGCCATTATATCAGGTAAATTTCACACAAAGATAAAGGAAGCGGAGGGGAGGAAAGATTCCAACTCATTATCCTTAAGATGTTTTAAACCTTTTATAGACGCCGAAAGTTGTATCACTTAACCAATGCAACTACTTGACTGACTTATTGACTTTGACTGTGCAAAATATCAACGACGAAGATGGATATGTAGCAAAGATGTCTACCTGATGATAGTGAAATATGGTGTCGGCTGCCAAGTCTTTTCCAACTACTGTTGTTGACCACAATTTCTTCATAAAGAAAACCTGATACGTCAAATTCGGCAGCTGACCTGTAAAACAAACAGGGGTAACTCTGGGCATCTAAAAAACGCTGTGGATGCGTTATGTACGAACACATGACTACTAAACATACGTACCATCACGAGTGGGTCTCGCCTTCTTCAGCCACTCCGTTAAATGCCTCACAAAATCAAAGAAGAAGTCTCCTTCAGGTACACTGATCACTAGCAAAAGAGAAAAAAAAATATTAGCTTCCTAACGTTAAATCCTTGAAACATTAGTTATTACATAACACCGGTAGTAAAGATGTTCAGACGTCACCTTTATCAGTAATTTTCACAAACAAACTGAATCCTTCAGAAGACTTAAGTCCCAAGCGCTGCGCAACCACAGCGCAAAATTCTTTCGCGCGGGTACTGGAATCGACTTCAAAGGCCTATAGAGAGAGAAAATACCGGGTTATTAAGAAATCCATATATGAGATTCTAAAAGCAACATCTCCGAGGCAACATAGATTACCTGATCGGTATCGTCTGGGAAGTACACTTTGTGAAATATCTGTGTTGTTTTGTGCTGGAGATAAATTGTGTTTTAAGCTCATTCATTTCTGCTGTAGGTAGTGTCTTGGACGCGACCAGTAGCCACCTTTGGTTCTCTCCTATTTCCCCTGTCTCTTCCGTAGGGGGTATGTGTGGGATAAGGTATCCATTAAGCACTCGAGTTACAGCCAATCACATTTTTTTCTGCGTCAATTCGTGAAGGACGCGCGGCTCTGAGCATGGGTTATCCACGCGGAACACATTCGCGCTATATGATTGGCTGGTGTTTAAACCCCCTTGGGATCTATGTGTCTTAAAAATAACTCGAGACGAATTACCTATGGAATAGGGTGTGTATGGGGGATGCCTTCTCTGTCCCCTTTATCCTCTCTTGGTGGAAACCATTTGAATGCATATCAGCAGGTAACACCGTTTCTATAGCGAGGAAGGAGGAAGACGACGAAGAAGAAAAAGGACTCGTAGCGAATCAAAAAAGAGTATTTTATGACAACTCGTTAATGCGACGTACAAAACACTATTTCAACACGTCATCAACTTTGGTTTTCACAAGAAACCCAACGATCAAAAGCAACGGCTTCACCACCAAACGCTTAGCTGTGATACGTGAAGTGTAAGCTTTGGAAGTTGTTTTATGGTCAGCTTTTTTCCAGGATGTCTGATCAATTAAAAGAGAAGTCAATAACTAAATAGTAGGATGAAATAGCCTTTTGTTCAGGAAAACAGGGGTTAAGAAAATAACTGATAACCTTACCTGTATCGCCTCAACTTCTACTATGTGTGGCGGGTATTTCCGCTGGCCAACTCGAATGGTTTTTTGCAGTCTAGCCAGGCAGTCATGCGCAAGAGGCTGTTTACTGGAGCAGGAGCGAAATACTTGGTTCACGTCTCTCATCAGCAAAGAACTGAAAAATGAAAAATGAAAAAATAGTAAGAAAAATTTATTGACCTGCGACTATGCATTTGTGAGTATCGAAAACAAGTGCAACAGGATACGCAAAGCCAAGTCAGCAAACAAATGCCAAGTGAACAAAAGCGCTAGATTTTTCCATCACTCTAGAAACAAAATTTATTCAGTTTAAGTAATAAACACTAACCTGCAGGCAAAAATACCGGTACAAAGCCACAATAATTCCCATCCTTTCTCTTCACTTGAACTGCAAAAGAACACAGACAAACATGGTCAACAAAATAGGGTAACGACAGACAGAGAAACACAGATGAGGACTGAGTAAAATAGTAAAAACATAAGCAAAAAATTGGTGTTCTGGCATTTACTTTCCGACCCGATTTCCCAGAAACTTTATGCAACTGGTACATAGCTTTGAATGCCGGGATAATAACTTTCGTTATCACCTAATGACAGCAGTTTTTCCGAAACTACAGTAACCCGGGTTATCAAATACGACCGACTAAAATGATGATGAAAAATTCTGGATAATAAAGAAGTCCAGATTAACGAAGTTCAATTGTACTTACGGTAATCTGTTATCGGTAACCTGTTTAATTAACTGGCAGTAAACTTCATCTCGCAACGGCTCCTAATAAAGCAAAAAGGAAATTGAAAAAAAAAACCTGAGATAAAAATAAACGAAAAATAGTATCTAAAACTTAATATGCTGACATGAAAAGCGGTTAATAACTGCCAAAATAATTCATCAATCCTCTCTTGGGAACACTTAACAAGTATAAGTTACGTAATAAGAATCTGTGTCCGGGTTAGGGTTGCGTGTTAGTACCAGTGTATGGTCAGGTGCTGGGTTTAAACTTTCTCTAAATGCTTTGAAGTAAAGAAAAAAATCACCATCTAAATCTAAACTGATGATCCACACAGAGGGTGGCCCATCACTGTGGATGAAAAATAGTATTTTGACGAAATTGGATTTGGCAAATAACGGATAACAACTTAGTTTCAATTCTTGAAATTCCGCAATCGCTCAGGCCAACTCTGTTTACTTTGAGCTAACCGGAATCATGTACCGAATGAAGCGACCACAACAACTCAAATGCGCTCTTAACGATAAAGTGAAAAACTCGTACAACTATATACAACTTACATGAAGGAGCGCGGGCTCAAATATGGCGTCGGTGAGGTCGGTTGTTTGTCGAAATCGCTTTGATGGGTAATCACCCATGTATTTCATGATAGGTACAACAAGTCAAGGAAAATCATATGGATATAGATACTTCACAGATAGGCTGCTACTACTACTAATATCTACCCACATATATATGGTTCCTTTAAAGAAAAAAAACCTCAATCACAAGGACTTTTCGCGACCGCCAGTTACCTATTTTACACAGTAAAAGCCACAGATAAAACAAGCTAGGCTCACTCGATTAAGGAAAGTCGATCGGTTGTTGAGCAATAATTATTCTAAGTAACATTGCATGTATTAGCTACAACCAGTTGCAAAAATGTTGAGACACTTTCACAAAAAACCAACCTTTCATGGTTCAAATCGCTGCTAAACACAGGTCTGTGAGATATAAAAACTGACCTCCCTCCTCCCTTCCATTCAAAGTTGTTCTTCCAAGTTTTAAGCATTGCTAGCAACTTTGATAAGGGGTGGAGGGGGGATCACAAGCACAAGATCAAGGACAGGCCATTTATGCCAAAATATGGTACAGTGTCTCAAGTACTTTTCCAACTGGTTGTAGTTATTATGCTAGGTATTACGGTATGCCGATTCAGTAACTCTTGTGAAAGGATATCCAGAAAGGTCTGTGTAGCCATTCGAGCAAGTTCTTCTTGTCCTGCAAGACGCTTTAACAGTGGCTGCTTGATTGGATCCTGCAACACAGAGTACCTTTAAAGGTCTACATTTTTTCAAGATTAATATTATTTCAGAAGCATTTATGGCGATGTGAACAAATAGCAAGAGAGGAGTTAAAGTAACTTAAAGTAAACTAAGAAGCTGCATGGAAGTCATCCTCTATGTCTCTACAAAAAATAATAAAACCTATTTACAAACCTAAATATTCTAGATTCTCAGAAGATACCCGATATAGTTGGAAAAAATTTTTGCTTAAAGCACACAGACTTAAGATTACAAGTAAAAAACAACAACGATACAAACACAGTGGAATACCTTTGTAAAGGCCCATGGTGCGTTTTTATCTCTCCTTTTAACCTGCGACGAAAGTGCTTTACTTAGTGTCCTCTTAGTTGGCGGGAGGAAATGATCAATGGAGTAATCTTGTAACGTGTGAGGTTTGATAAAGTCTTCCATCTCCTCTTGATATATTGCTGTCTGTGTTGTAGCGATGATTTTTTCTGAATTCTCTAAAGACTGATCACTAAATAATGCCTGCAAACAAACAATAAAAAAATACATATCAAAGCTGTTATCTGAAAGTGATGTGAAAAACTGACCAAAAAACCTTACTGTACTGTAAAGTTTTAACCCGGTGATGATACAGATCATCCTTAGCGGAGATGTTCACCCTCAGCCGGGCCCAAATTCAAAGCAAAAGCAAAATTCTCGGCCCGGGCAAGATCCAGAGGAAAATCACTCAACTGCGTCAGTGGTCAGCCAACATGCAACTTCGTGCATCAAGATTGCTCATCTGAATATTCGCTCTTTGAAGTCTCGCGAACACCGTTTTCTTCTACAACATACCATCGAAGATCATAACTTTGATATATTTACTATATCAGAAACTTGGCTCGACTCGACGGTTGATAATCAAGCCGTGCAGATTCCTGGATTTGTATTCTTCCGCCAAGATCGGGGAGAACATAAATCTGGTGGCGGCCTTGCCGTGTACATCAGAGACACATTCAAAGCGACAATTCTAGAACATGCCTCGGGAATTAGCGACGAAAATTTCCAGCAGCTCTGGATAAAGTCCAAGTTCGACACTGCAAATCAATTTTTATTTGTACTGTTTATAGACCACCTTGCACCACATTAGCTTTCAGTGATAGTTTGTCCAGAACTCTCCTGGATATGTTACTGCATGGCAGTGATATTATCATTTTGGGTGACCTAAACTGTAACATTCTTGATGATAGAGTGGATAGTCGAACTTTTAAAGAACTTTGTGCTAGCTTCAATTTAACACAACTGGTGAAGGAACCGACCAGAATTACAGAAACAAAGCGCTCGTTAATTGATGTCATTATGACCACCGATCCTACCCTAGCGGAGTCTTGCTCAGTCATTACGTCCTCAATAAGTGATCACAACTTAGTTGAGGTTACCTTGAAGATAAGTCGCCCTAAAGTAAAATCCAAATACGTTACTACAAGAAGCTATTCCGAGTACGCACCCGACAGCTTTTGCGAAGATCTTTCTCTTGTTCCGTGGCATTTGGTATACTTCTTTGATGACACTGATTCCCAAGTGGAAACATTCAATTCTCTCTTCTTGGACGTACTAGATCAGCACGCACCCATCAAACGTATAAAGATCAAGTCCCTCTCTCATCCGTTCGTAACGCCAGAAATAAAGCAGCTCATGAAGACCAGGGATCGTTGGCATAGGAAAGCCATCCAGACTAATGACAAGCTATGCTGGAACGGATATCGCTTCTTCCGACAAGAAGTGAAACGAGAACTGAGGCTTGCTGAAAAAATCCATGTAAGAAACGAAATAGCTAACAGCAGGAGAAATACAAACGCCACTTGGAAGATCTTAAATCGATGTATGTCTCGCGGTACTGCTAAACGTCCAAGTACTTTGGAGGACCAAGAGACTTTGGCAAATAAATTCAATAAGTACTTCACATCAGTAGGAGAACTTACTGCCTATAAAGCGAACCTGATATCAAGGGAATATGGTTTGGATGAAGAATGTGGTTCTAAGGCGGGAAAGCATTGACACTGGCCTACACGTTGAAACAGAAGCATTTGAGTTCCAAGATGTAAAAGAAACTGACGTCAAGTCTGTCATTAAGAGTTTAGCTGCCAACAAAGCACCAGGATATGATAAAATCTCAGCACGAGTCCTGAAAGACAGTTGTGAGAGCATCGCACCTGTGATTTCTACATTGGTGAACAATTCATTTAAGATGGCTGCTTTTCCTAAAGCATGGAAAATTGCTGAGGTGATACCTGTAGCCAAAGAAGGAAACTCAGAGGAACCAGCCAACAGGCCGATTTCATTGTTACCCATCCTATCGAAAGTAAGTGAGAGACTGGCGCACAAGCAGTTTGTGGAATTTTTGACAACGCATGACAAACTGCCGACTTATCAAAGTGGCAACAGAAAAATGCATTCGACAGAAACTGCCCTCATAAATGTAACAGATAACATTTTTAAAGCAATCGATAAAAAATTTGCCTCGTTACTAGTACTGCTTGATATGTCAAAAGCTTTTGACAACCTTGATCATAATCTATTGTTAGGGAAATTACGAAAACTGGGTCTCAAAGCTTCCGCAATTTCCTGGTTTAGTAGCTACCTATCAAGTAGATACCAAAGAGTACGACACGAAGATTCAGTCTCAGAATTGTTACCCGTTAAAAATGGAGTACCTCAGGGTTCGATCTTGGGTCCTATGCTTTTTACTATTTACATTAATGATTTAATCAGCGTTATTACCCATAGCCAACCCGCTGCATATGTTGATGACAGCCAATTGCACTTTAAATTTTCTGTATCAGACTCATCAAGTGCTATGGCAGCCGTAAACCAAGATCTTAGGGACATCGGTAAATGGTGTGCAAAGAATTCTCTACTCATAAACCCAGAGAAGACAAAATTAGTGGTTGTTGGCTCAGCACAACTTATTAAGAGGCTACCTCATATCTCCTTATCCCTGCTGGGCAAAACTATTTCACCAGTGTCAGTTGCTTAGGATCTCGGGGTATACATTGATCAATATCTTACCTACGATTTACATGTTACTAAAACAGTCTCTAGCTGCAGGAACCAGTTGGTACAGATAGGTAGAATTAAACATCTTTTGGATAGGAAAACCCTTTTACTACTTATAAATAGCTTTGTTTTCAGTAAACTTTTTTATTGTTCCTCAGTATGGGGGAACACATCTAAACGTAGCCTCCACAAACTGCAGTTGGTACAAAATTTTGCTGCCAGAGTTGTATTAGGTTTAAAGAAGTTTGACCATATCTCCCAGGGACGGAGATCTCTTAAATGGTTAGATGTTACGGAGAAGGTTCTATTAAATGACTTAGTTTTAGTATTCAAATGTGTAAATGGATTAGCTCCAGATTATTTAGGTAAATATTTTATTAAACGTTCAGCAGTTCACAACAAGAACACAAGGGGATGTAACAATTTTGTGGTCCCCCGATGTAGACTATCAATGGGACAAAGGGCATTTTATTTTCGTTAGCTGCCAACAAAGCACCAGGATATGATAAAATCTCAGCACGAGTCCTGAAAGACAGTTGTGAGAGCATCGCACCTGTGATTTCTAGATTGGTGAACAATTCATTTAAGATGGCTGCTTTTCCTAAAGCATGGAAAATTGCTGAGGTGATACCTGTACCCAAAGAGGGAAACTCAGAGGAACCAGCCAACAACAGGCCGATTTCATTGTTACCCATCCTATCGAAAGTAAGCGAGAGGCTGGCACACAAGCAGTTTGTGGAATTTTTGACAACGCATGACAAACTGTCGACTTATCAAAGTGGCAACAGAAAAATGCATTCGACAGAAACTGCCCTCATAAATGTTACAGATAACATTTTGAAAGCAATCGATGAAAAATCTGCCTCGTTACTAGTACTGCTTGATATGTCAAAAGCTTTTGACCGCCTTAATCATAATCTATTGTAAGGAAAATTACGAAAACTGGGTCTCAAAGCTTCCGTAATTTCCTGGTTTAGTAGCTACCTATCAAGTAGATACCAAAGAGTACGATCCGAAGATTCAGTCTCGGAATTGTTACCCGTAACAAAAGGAGTACCTCAGGGTTCGATCTTGGGTCCTATGCCTTTTACTATTTACATTAATGATTTAATCAGTGTTATTACCCATAGCCAACCCGCTGCATATGTTGATGACAGCCAATTGCACTTTAAATTTTCTGTATCAGACTCATCAAGTGCTATGGCAGCCGTAGACCAAGATCTTAGGGACATCAGTAAATGGTGTGCAAAGAATTCTCTACTCAAACCCAGAGAAGACAAAAATAGTGTTTGTTGGCTCAGCACAACTTATTAAGAGGCTACCTCATATCTCCTTATCCCTGTTGGGCAAAACTATTTCACCAGTGTCAGTTGCTAAGGATCTCGGGGTATACATTGATCAATATCTTACCTACGATTTACATGTTACTAAAACAGTCTCTAGCTGCATGCAGCAGTTGGTACAGATAGGTAGAATTAAACATCTTTTGGATAGGAAAACCCTTTTACTGCTTATAAATAACTTTTTTTTCAGTAAACTTTTTTATTGTTCCTCAGTATGGGGGAACACATCTAAACGTAACCTACACAAACTGCAGTTGGTACAAAATTTTGCTGCCAGAGTTGTATAAGGTTTAAAGACGTTTGACCTTATCTCCCAGGGACGGAGATCTCTTAAATGGTTAGATGTTACGGAGAAGGTTCTATTTAATGACTTAGTTTTAGTATTCAAATGTGTAAATGGCTTAGCTCCAGATTATTAAGGTAAATACTTTATTTAACGTTCAGCAGTTCACAACAAAAACACAAGGGGATGCAACAATTTTGTGGTCCCCCGATGTAGACTATCGATGGGACAAAGGGCATTTTATTTTCGGGGTCCAAAGGAATGGAATGGGCTACCTGACAATATTAGGAATACTAAAGATATTGATAGTTTTAAGCGGAGACTTTTTGATAGGATATTTTATACGAAATAATTTTGAATATATTTTGAATAATTTTGAATGTATTTTGAATTTAATTGAACTACTGTAAATAAGTTTTCTTTTCCTTTCTTAATTACCAGTATTATGTAATAATTAACATTGTGATTGAAAAGCCCTGTTGAAGGGAGTCTCAATAAAGTATGTATCTATGTAATACATGTTGAATAAAAATGTGAAAGATAACGGGTTAACCTCCGTAAACAAGTTTTAAAAAACAAGTAATTTCAAGCCTTGTAAGTCGAAAACTGTTTCGCTTACAAGTTGCACTACAACGGATTCACAAGAAGCACCATTCCTAAGCTTTAAACAGTTTTGTCACTTTTCTTGATTACTGCGGAACTTTGGCCTGCACGCTAGTAAGGAGTGCGCGAATGAAGCCCCTGGATACCACACATGTATCAAATAAATACACCTTATTCGATGGTTTAGCATATAATACGTGCGGATATTTTGCGAGTTGCGTAGTATTTTTCCGAGCCCCGCAGGGGCGAGGAAAAATAAGAGCAATGAGCAAAATGACCGCTCGTATTATATGCTAAACCATCGAATAAGAGGTTTATTATTCCACTACAAAAAAAAATTATCTGGCAATTCTGTCTGTGAGAATGACGTTAACAATTAGCAAAATGTTCGCGCGTATTATATGCCAAACCATTGAATGAGAGGTTAATTATTTTACTGCAAAAGAAAAATGGTATTTTGGCTTCTATTTTCTAATGAGAGTATCCAAAACATCCTGATTCAGTCACAGTTGCTCCTTTTGCATCCGCCGGTATTCGCCCTGTTGTAAACCGGTTAAACCAGGACACTACAGTGTATTACGGCCTCGTATTTTGCTTGTTCTCTTGACCTTATATGGTAAAATGACATAATAGTGGAATAATAGGCCAACAGAATACATGTACAAGGACACAACTTACCATTGTATCTGATGTTGGCTTGGCGATGGTGGGTAACACATACACGCATTCAGCAGGGAAATCTCCTTTCTTTCCTGTGCGCTCGCAACTGCCGAAACACCAACCAGAGTTTACTACTGTCTCCCCGGTGTCATTCTCCAAGATGATGAGATCTCCTTTTTTAAAACTTAGGAACGATGAACTCTC